GAATGGGAATACCGCGCTTTGGTACCAGATGAGATTATAAATCAGTTAGGCAAGGCTGCATAAGTAATGTGTTAATGCGCTAAGTTACGCCAGTCTGATCCAGTTCTTCTGGTACTATTAAGCGTTTGGTGCGGTTTGTGAAGTTGACGATTGTGGTAATGTGGTGGTTGTCGAATATGTCGTTGACCGAGAGGTAGTAGTCATCAGTCAAGGGATCATGTATTAACTGTTTTTAAGATAATAATTAAGACACCCACCCCCTTTTACCGGCTTTTGTGGTACTAACTGTTGAGAAATCACTGTACTATGTCTTGGTTTATAAAATAAGATACCCACCCAGAAATTGCTTTAAACAGCTCATTAAATATGACTTTTTAGTTTTAAAAGGATCCGATATTGAATGTAAACAATGAAACTAACAGTTGAGATATCTATGCTTAATTAAAAACATACACTAACACACGCCCACATGTTTACAGATTACAATTACACACATGGCATGTATGTAATGTGTACTATACATATCACACATCATTTAAGAACCAGTAGTTGAAATACATTTTAAAATAAATTAAACACTGCACCTTCTCAAACGGAAAAGTCAACAAAGCCAAAGGCCACTTTTTAAAATTATACAAAAGATCAATCGCACTCTGTTTAATAAATTATATCTTAATTTACTAACTGTTTTTGGGCAAATTAGACCTAAGACTCACTATTTAGTAGCATACAGTACAAACTGTTTTTCTGGGAAATGAGCAGCAGATCCGCCACTTAGTACAAAAGTACTAACTGTGTTTTGGAAGAATATATGACACACCACCCCAACGTCACGTACAGTTAACAGTACTCAGTACCTGATCCCGGGGTCCCCCCTCCTCCCCCGGTAAAATATGACCAATATCTCTTTATCTAAGGACGTATTTAAAATAGTATTACAGTACTTACTAAACGGTGTGTGTCAGAGGGAGTTGTAAGGGCTATCAAACTAGGAATTTTAAGATGTTGCACAGATTTGTATTTCTGAGTTCTCCAGTCACCACTATTTCAGTCAGTACAATCTCTCTCTCTCTCTCTATTCTACGATTTTGGTATCATTAGCACAACAAATAACAATGTAGCCATTACAGCAGCTAGCGACAAGTAAGTTTATCCTAAAAGTAACGAAGCACATGCTCATTTAAAAACCTTCATTTACTGAGAATATGATCAAGCTTATTAGTAAAGATACAATAAGTATTATAAGCGTGGCTTGCCTCAAATTAAATAGATCAGAAGATAACTATAAACTGATCATGATTAGAACAAAAACAACATAGTGCTTGGTCGTTGTTTTAAAGTTTGAAAACAGTGCATGTGGCCTTCCATCAAGAACACGGAATTATGTGATCATACAAGAAAGACAGATCTTAATAATATTTAAGATCATTTGCATCAGGCTTAGTTGTTTGAAATAAATTACCTCATACAGCTGAAGACCAACAATGATTGGAGAGGAGGAAAAAATATCAAACAGAATAATCATATGTATTGTGAGCCAACCAGGGGTAGATGAGGCATCCATCTCTCCAACGGTTTTGACATCATCGAAATCATCTTACCGTCATCTGAATAAAGGTCATGTTAATTATCTCAATTATACATTAGCCAGTTGCAGTATTAAATTAGCCAGATGCTTAGCAATGCGCATAAATGTGCTCAGTGCATTCTTGGAATTTTCACAAGTTTTATTTCAGCCCGACAATGAAAATAATATCAGATCAGTGGTACTTAGATCGAATCCAAATAAAATCAACAAAGTGGCCGCTTTTTATGCACAATTAAAAAAAAATGTATATTTGGACTATTCATATGTGCACAGATAACTGCATCAAGGTAATGATAATAATAATCCTATACATTTGCATAATTGAAACAATTATGGCCCCTTATTGTGGGCAGAATATGTGTTTTTGTTGAAGTGTCCTGGTATAAAACTTATCTGAGTGACTGCATAGGGATAAATACTAGGACCTACTAAACTCAAAACAAAATGCAGCCACCTAATTAAGATACTGAATTATTTACTTCACTTTAATTATGATGGCTTGTATCTAAACAAATAAAAACATGATCAATGATATGACATACATGTAGCGCGTGGTCAAGTGCAACTAGCAGAGCCAAACGGAATAGAAATAGCGCAGTGCTTTTCAACAGTCCCATTATGTCACAGTTAATTATCAATCAAAATAACTGACCACTGATCAGCCCTACATTACATGACAAACACCCAACACTCATACTTTAATCAGAAACACTCACTGAGTGAAAAATGTAATACCTTGGGAACAAGAAATTTGGGATACATAACATTTTGATGCATAAGTGCATCCCTTTCTGATCTTCTGGATCAATTTTACAAAATTCAGAGAACAATTCCAACACTATACCGGTTTTACATTATACAACTAATAGAATTCTAAGGATAAACACAATAATCTATCTTTCTAATTGCTATGTTAATTGTTAAATAGCAACATTTCGGGGTTGATTCATACTCTGCACTGCAAGGTTACAGTTTCATTTTAATAGAAATTTGAGTAATAATGCCTGTAACAATGTTTTAATAAATCATAGTGTGTTAAAGGATAGAAATGGAGTGATGTGCTTTATGGCTACCATCATTGAGTGCATTGAGTTATGTAACCTAAAAGATGTCCAGTTTTGGATTGGGAATTGAGTGGGGCAGTATCTGTGCAGCCCTAAAACCAAGAGTAGACTTGGTTGTGGGGCTGCACAGATACTTCCCATGTATTATAGAACTATGATCATAATAAACTACTTTTAGGATAAGAGTGAGAAATAGTGAAACAAACTTTTTAGTGAAACAAATTTAAAATAATGCAAGGGTAGGGGTAACAGATAGTTATTATGACTTTAGGAACCTTAACCTTATTCCTAACCAAACTGTTGTGTACTCAATTTAAATGTCTAACTAGCCTTTAATAATGGTGGGTTGTCTTGGATACTGCATTTCCAACTTGGTGCACGCCAGGTTTAAAATAAAATTATTTCCCTCACTTGCTTGGATTAGATTGGCTCACTCCAATGTTAAGACTGCGTCGTCACCACTAACCAGTAGATTCATCATACATGAACTGTAGGCACCTAAATTGAATTGATTAGAATAGATTTCGTTTTCCCTAATAGAAGTTTCGATAGTAAATAAAAGGAAAAATGTGTCAAAATGTATTTAATATACATTCAATTAAATCAAGTGATGCGATTGGCAGAGCACAATCAAATTTTTAGTGTTGCAATTGGCAGAGCACAATATTTTAAATCTTTAACAATCTAATATATAAAAGTTTCAAAACGCATGATCTGCTCCATTATTTAGACTCCATTAAAGGGGCAGGGATGAGATTGTAGGAGACTTCTGATAGATGTATCTCATGTTTGGTGTCCACCTTCTTTCCCCGGTACTTAATTAAAAGAATATCCATTTGAGCATATATATTTTTACAATTGGTCAAAATATGGGTAATAAGAAACAATAAACATATAATAACATTTTTACCAAAAGCTGGTCCCCAAACAATTTATTGGAATGCGAGAATTTGTATTGTGGCAGGTGGTTGATTTAAGTGCTCCAAGAAATAATTTTACTTTACAATAGGCAATGATGAGTGGCAGGATTTTGTAGCCCACTAATAAACATTCATCTTCAAATCTTTCGAAAATGGCATTATCTCATAGAGCAATATATTCTTGGTTTAAAAAGACAACAAAGAAATTTTCAAAAGAAGCCTATAGAAGAAATTCTGTTGTGTGCTTGTAAGAAATATCAATCATCTATACGATGGGAGTTGGGACATAAGATTAAAGGCTCATAATGCAAATGTTAAGTTATAGAAGTCAAGCACATTGATGCATTTGGGACAAGCCATTAGAACTCACTGTACGGCCTCAAGTAGGAAAAATTGTGTGCTTCGTCATGGAGATGGTATGTGAGAATTCATAGACCTGTGATCTACAACAATCAATATGTTACCAATGATTTGAATATCTTTGAAAGTGTCAGATCGAGGATTCAATGAAATCTTATTTGGAGATTTTCACTTTATATCAAAGAATAGGTGATATGATGTTCTATTATATTCTTCATATATGTATTTACAAAAGGTCGTGAGCATACAGTCTCAAATCTACAAACATCATTTCCCGAAACTTGTGGACGATATCAAATTTAAAGCTGGAAAAATATCAGCCAACAATACAATTTGCTTAAATAGTAAAGAATACGAAAGTTAACATCAAACTAGGCGGTTTGTTTGCTCATAAGTAGTCATTTCTTCTGCATTAGAATTAGCGCTCGATTCATCAGGCTATCTATCTATGCATAACAATAAAAATGTATACAAGCTATATTAAAATGACTCTAGATGCATCAATTACCAAATAATTAATTGTTTCAAAATTTATATACTGTGGTCGTACGTCGATTTTTTAATTCAAAACATGGAAATGGGTAGCGCATGGTCGCGCGCGCAACAATAAGGTCGCATTTGTGATTTCAATATTTTACATGACGTACGCGTAACGCGCGGACGCAAGCGCGACTAGCAGCGCCAAACGGGATAGAAAATAGCGCGGCTCTATTCAACGTGGTCCCATCGTGAAACGATTGAGCTTGCTTTCTGTGAAAATTTAATGTACTTTCGTAAAATAATTTTGATGTGTCAGCGATTTGAAAAGGAAATTAGTTAAAAATAATACAAAAAAATCGGACATTTTTTGATATTAAAACATGAATAACTTGGGCTGTGTTGACAGTAGAAAAATTTATTAACCTCTATCCGACAGCTTTAAAATTTTTCTACGCGCCGCGCAAATCCACGCGCGCATTTTAGCGTGTCAAAATCGTTTAAAACTAGAATTAGTTGATGAAGGAGCATAATGCAGATCATACTTTGTACGTGTGGCTTGAACATTATGATTTCGCGCCATTTGTTGTTTCTGCACTCGCTTTGAACTTTCATGGCTTTAACAGCAGTTATCGACTGACGACTTTGCTGTATTACATAGTGTACTTGGTACATAATTGATCAACGATAATAGGAGGAACCCCTGCAAGCTTTAAAGGGCTCGTGTTACTTTAACATCACTTTTGAATTTCACGAAAGCAGATAAAAGGTAGGTTTTCGTTGAATCAAAGTAAGCTAATATCAATTAGAACGAGTATAATTGTGTTACTTTAATACATCGCTTGGTACTGTATTTTATAGTTAACTAACGACATTCTCGCTTTAGGTTATTTTATATAAAACACTTTTATCATTGTTGATTGTGACTTGTCCAATCATTGCACTAGTTTATTACAAAGATTATCAAAATCTTGCGGTAAAATTATTATACAAGCACCCATAAATGACAAAAGTCATTTAATTTCAACATTCCTCATTGCTTTTGTGATTTCCTGCAGCTCTTACTACTGGGCAGCTCTTACTACTGGGCAGGTCGCCCCGTGGTGGTTCATGGAGGCGTCTCAAAAAAAACTGACTGAACTATAATCTAAATATGATAAGTGCTTATTAACCTCTCTGCTTTAATTCAAACCTTTTATAGAATCTACATATGAACTTACAATATTTTGCAGTTTTAGTGACGTTGCAGAAACTCCGGAATACTGTGGATTGGGAGGAGGAGAAAGTGATAATTCTGTTATATGGCCTGTTTCTAGGACACGATAAACTTCCTAATAAGGTATTTTTTTCAGGATACGATAAACTTCTTAATAAGGTATGATCTGTATAGCTAGGACACGATTAACTTCCTAATACAGTATGTGTAGATGATAACCTTCCTTCCTCTTCTAGATCAGATGGCTAAGTTACGGTGCAAAGACGGGTAGCTTGAGACTACCCGTTGTTACCTATAATCTAACTCACTCTTTCCACATACGCGGCTAACCTGTTCCCGATCAATATTCAGGTAGTGGAGAACTTAGAGTTAGATTATTTATTCCGCTTTTTGATTTTCCCCAGTCTTCATGCTAGATTCCCGTTCATTTTAGAGCCTCATTTAATCAGTCGGCCTTACTAAAGAACCTCTCACCCTAATAAGAACACGTAACTTGAAGTCTGATCGACTACATAGCTTTCGCTACAGCACTAACACGTGCATTTACAGAGGAGCAAAAGTTTGCGGAGGCATCCTAGAACGGTACATATTTTAACGTATCATGCACAGGTGCCATTCTGTTTGTTTGGTTCACAGCTATTTCCTACTCCTAGACTCCGTGTTCGGACTTTTGATTTCTGTACCAGTTTATCGTTAACTTAGAGTTAGATTATTTATTCCGCGTTTTGATTTTCCCCACTCTCCATGCTAGATTCCCGTTCATTTTAGAGCCTCATTTAATCAGTCGGCCTTACTAAAGAACCTCTCACCCTCTTAAGAACACGTAACTTTAAGTCTGATCAACTACATAGCTTTCGCTACAGCACTAACACGTGCATTTACAGAGGAGCAAAAGTTTGCGGAGGCATCCTAGAACGGTACATATTTTAATATATCATGCACGGGTGCCATTCTGTTTGTTAGGTTCACAGCTATTTCCTACTCCTAAACTCCGTGTTCGGACTTTTGATTTCTGTACCAGTTTATCATTAACTTAGAGTTAGATTATTTATTCCGCTTTTTGATTTTCCCCACTCTCCATGCTATTATTGCTAGATTCCCGTTCATTTCAGAGCCTCATTTAATCAGTCGGCCTTACTAAAGAACCTCTCACCCTAATAAGAACACGTAACTTGAAGTCTGATCGACTACATAGCTTTCGCTATAGCACTAACACGTGTATTTACAGAGGAGCAAAAGTTTGCGGAGGCATCCTAGAACGGAACATATTTTAACATATCATGCACGGGTGCCATTCTGTTTGTTTGGTTCACAGTTATTTCCTACTCCTAGACTTTTGATTTCTGTACCAGTTTATCGTTAACTTAGAGTTAGATTATTATTCCGCGTTTTGATTTTCCCCACTCTCCATGCTTTTATTGCTAGATTCCTGTTCATTTCAGAGCCTCATTTAATCAGTCGGCCTTACTAAAGAACCTCTCACCCTAATAAGAACACGTAACTTGAAGTCTGATCGACTACATAGCTTTCGCTACAGCACTAACACGTGCATTTACAGAGGAGCAAAAGTTTGCGGAGGCATCCTAGAACGGTACATATTTTAATATATCATGCACGGGTGCCATTCTGTTTGTTTGGTTCACAGCTATTTCCTACTCCTAGACTCCTTGTTCGGACTTTTGATTTCTGTACCAGTTTATCGTTAACTTATAGAATTAGATTATTTATTCCGCTTTTTGATTTTCCCCACTCTCCATGCTATTATTGCTAGATTCCCGTTCATTTTAGAGCCTCATTTAATCAGTCGGCCTTACTAAAGAACCTCTCACCCTCTTAAGAACACGTAACTTGAAGTCTGATCGACTACATAGCTTTCGCTACAGCACTAACACATGCATTTACAGAGGAGCAAAAGTTTGCGGAGGCATCCTAGAACGGTACATATTTTAATATATCATGCACGGGTGCCATTCTGTTTGTTTGGTTCACAGCTATTTCCTACTCCTAGACTCCGTGTTCGGACTTTTGATTTCTGTACCAGTTTATCGTTAACTTAGAGTTAGATTATTATTCCGCGTTTTGATTTCCCCACTCTCCATGCTATTATTGCTAGATTCCTGTTCATTTCAGAGCCTCATTTAATCAGTCGGCCTTACTAAAGAACCTCTCACCCTCTTAAGAACACGTAACTTGAAGTCTGATCGACTACATAGCTTTCGCTACAGCACTAACACATGCATTTACAGAGGAGCAAAAGTTTGCGGAGGCATCCTAGAACGGTACATATTTTAATATATCATGCACGGGTGCCATTCTGTTTGTTTGGTTCACAGCTATTTCCTACTCCTAGACTCCGTGTTCGGACTTTTGATTTCTGTACCAGTTTATCGTTAACTTAGAGTTAGATTATTATTCCGCGTTTTGATTTCCCCACTCTCCATGCTATTATTGCTAGATTCCTGTTCATTTCAGAGCCTCATTTAATCAGTCGGCCTTACTAAAGAACCTCTCACCCTCTTAAGAACACGTAACTTTAAGTCTGATCAACTACATAGCTTTCGCATACCGTTTCGTATCACGTATTTATCATCTCTCCTTCTTCAGAGACTGGCTTTATTTCAACATACCGTATCGTATCACGTTTTTATCGTCTCTCCTTCTTCAGAGACAGGCTTTATTTCAACATACCGTATCGTATCACGTTTTTATCGTCTCTCCTTCTTCAGAGACAGGCTTTCTTTCAGCATGGTTACCCAGAGACTTGATGGTATCAGGGTTCTCGATGTTCTGAGTAATGAATTTAGTTTTTCCCTTCATTCATTCTAAGTCCCACTGTGGCAGCAACCCTTTCTATCTCTTGCATCAGCGTCTCTGTCTCCTTTTCAGTATCTGCTATCAGAGCAATGTCATCCACAAAACCAGTGACCGATATCTTCTCCACCTTGACTCTCCTACTCCTATAAGGCTAAATGGTAAATCCTATTTCAGGGTGCTTGCTTAAGGCTTGTCTCATGCAATAGTCTAGGGCTATTATAATGAACAGGTACGGTATGGTGCTAACATCTGCAAGATCTTAAGGAGAGAGTGGCGTGACACACCCTCTGTAATCAATAACATTTTGCGAAACTTTCAGAAATACTAAGTTTGACCCAGATTTAAAGGTCGCTAGACTGAATGTAATATTTCAGTTAACAACTCTACCTCGATTCGATGCAGTGCACAGTGGGAAAGGTTGAAGTTGACGTTCAAGCAGTCACCCTGCCGAACAAGAAATCTTTCAGGCCAAGAGGCTAGGTGACTAGAAACTCAATCACTATATCCGTGAAACTTGTCGGGAGCACTGTTATGTGAGTTATTTTACCTTCTAAATTCCAATGAGCATGAAAATTACCCAGGTTCATGGAATGCACGAAAATGAACAAAAATTAATATTCTCCTAAAACTAAAAGTGCTCAGAACGGTTTAAAACTGGCCGGAAAGCGTTTAGATTGGTCCTAGGACCACTCAAACCAAGTTTGGGAATCACTGCATGTCTACAACCGATGTAACCAATGTTCCAAAATGTTCCAATTTTGTCCCAATAACTCGTTCACCAGCCTACCTCCGTTCACCAGCATGCGCTGTGACCGTCATGGTCACGGCGCAAGATGCGCGGATTTTAAAATGGCGGGAACACATTTTAATTGCCATTGTACATTATAGTACATAGTGGATAGTGGAGTGTGTGGTCTGATACTTGATAGTAGACAGAGGTTATATTTGAAACATTCCCGGTGCCTTCAACTGTTCTTTACTGTGCATGCACTGACTATTTGATTGCTTAAACGAATAGGCGAGCCTTCAAAAACATTAGTTTCAATGTTTTCATAGTTTTATGATGCAAATATAATTTTTCCATTTACATAACTGATAATACCCCAATATCTTTTCAGTTGTGGAGGTCGGACCGAAACTGTAATCAGACACTAAACATTGACGAGGACCAATTACTCTACTCTTTCAATGATTAATAAAGATCGCTGATTGCTTTTACTAATGTATAATGTTAAAATGAAAGAGAAACTATCGAGACGAAAGAGAAAAAGGCACTCATTTATTTATAGTTTTATGTCTTAACAATGATATTCGAAAGCTAATTTTAAAAACTGGCTCTGAATCCTTGCTAAATGATTTGGGAAGGTGTAAGGGCTTAATATGTTAATGATGATATTATATAATAAAGTACATCATTATTCATTAAATACCATACTAACATAACTTAATCCATTCTAGGAAAATGATGTGATCTTGGAGGCTATTCGTCTACTCGACGTTGGTGGTTGCTCTACGGTGTACCAGTGCTGCTAGCCACGCCAGTTGCTGTTGTATGTTGGTGGACTTGTGTTAGGAGTTGTGTTCTTCGGTGTGAAGTGTGTACTATCGGTGAGAAGATAGATTACAGTGTACGGTCAGTGTGACCAGTGTGTACTATCGGTGATAAGATAGATTACAGTGTACGGTCGGTGTGACCAGTGTGGACTATCGGTGAATATAAGTCAATTGGATTGTACTTAAGATAGATTCCAGTACGAAGAACTTCAGAGAAGAACTCAACAGATCTCAACAGAAGACAAGTAATAGTGTCGGTGTATTGTAGAGATCTCAACAGAAGACAAGTAATAGTGTCGGTATATTGTAGTAGAGAAGTTACATTGATTGATAGTGATTTGGATACTTTATATAATTGAAGTGATTGAGTTATTATATATTGAATTACTATTTACCTTTGTTAGTCATTGCAGTGCGAGTGCGTAGTGGAGTGTGTTAGTTTGGAAAGCAATTGACTAGGAAAGATTCACTTAGTACAATATTGTGTATTATCTCATTATCAGTGTTCAAGTAGATAGTATTGTGTATTATCTAAATTTACTTATTCCAGTTTTATAATATCGTGTTTATCTTATTATCATAATATGCCTGTAGACATCATTTTCAGTGGGTTTTATGAAGTTTATGATTAGAGTATATTTTGGGACTGAAATAAGCGCAAGACCTTCGACGTTTCTATTCCTACTGTTTTTTTAATTTAGCAAATATACAAACAAATTTTATACTGTCGTAAAGATAAAATATTTAGTTATCGGATAGAGACTTGAAAATTAAGTATTACAATAACCAAGCTAAAATATTCAATGTTAAACTCAAAAATTTTCACGCGTCTATGAAGAAATATTTAGTTCTGCGCGTAGTTTTTTGGTCACATCTACGGCAAATTTTCGCCAATTTTGTTCATAGTTTCAAAATGTTATTTAGTAGACAAATTACTTTCGGACTACATCCATATTGTTTATTTAAGTCTAAAAGAAACAACATTTATTTGACTTCAAAATTGTTCAATCTGAATACGAGCTAATTACGACGAAGGGAGGTCACAACACTGCGCGCAGGAGTGCAAATCATTAACAATGGTCAAGCTAGGTAGTGCGCCATCGACAGTGAGCCGCGCGTGCCGACTGTAGGATGGTTTTTTAGCGCTAATTTCGGCCAGCACAATTTTCTTCAAACAAATAGATATTAAGTATCCTTCCCGACCTCTAATTGCAACAAAAATTGGTAAGCTTACTCATAGACTTACAAGGAAAGTGTCCGAAAAGTTTAAAGCATATCCAACCATCAGACATTATGTTACAGCTAAAAGCAGCGTATTTTGCCCCATTTTGATCACTATATCAACCCCGATATCTACCAAATTTTTTGGACAGTTGTGAAAGCCCTATTGGAAGGTCGTCACCAATTTTCAGAATGATCTCATTCAAGGAACTGAAGATATATCCAAATAATACGACAAAAATCAACGAATTTGGTCAAATTTGGTCAAATTACGCGACTTTTACAGCTAATTTTGCTCCAAAAGCCGCGCACCATCAAATATGGCACCTAGACGAAACTCACTGATCTTTCCAAAAAGGTATAACAAATTTGGTACTGTGAAAATTCTCACAGTCTCTAGAAAACAATGGTACAAAAATTTTTAAAATCCGAGCAAGTTTATTTTTATGGTGCACCCCCTAGTCAAGCTAGTCACCAACTTTTCACGCCACGCGTTGAAGAAATTCCAAGAATTAGCTGCTTTGGCAACGTTCCCAGGAATTTGCGTGTAAAAGAAGTGGACGGTTACGATGTTTCATATCACGTGGTGCGCTTTCGTGTCACGTGGTATAGACTCGGCGTATGCTATTGGTGGCACGTGGTACGCACGTGACGCGCCCACGTGATCGCGCGTCTAACTGTTCTACTATTATCTTACCTGAGGACCCCAGGCTATTATGTTCATTAACATAAAGATTTGGCGGAATGACAGGCTGAGCGCGGCCCAGTAACTATTATCGAGTTCTAATCAGCAGTATCATTGATTATTGTAAGTCGGAGAATTGAATGATAAACATCAGTTACGACTAATAAGCGGGCCGGGTTTATACAAATTTCCGGGGCGGGATGATATCACCTTGAGATGTTTATATAACAGCGGGCCGGGCTGAGTGATAATATGATCCCGCGTCGAAATCCCGGAGATATTTATATCAACAGCTGCAGTCTTTAACATCAGGACTGGCAAAGATTCTGACCAGGACCCGGACAACAAAGGCCAAAGCTTAATGTTCCCTACTCCATACTCAATATTGAGAAACTTAGTGAAGCTAAGCTCTCTCTCTCTCTCTCTAGAGAGAGAGAGAGAGAGAGAGAGAGAGAGAGAGAGAGAGAGAGAGAGAGAGAGAGAGAGAGAGAGAGAGAGAGAGAGAGAGAGAGAGAGAGAGAGAGAGAGAGAGAGAGAGAGAGAGAGAGAGAGAGAGAGGGGAAGAAAAACTTAGTGAAACTAACGACTTGAGTACCATTAAAATAATCTCTACAACAATTGAAGATGCCCGTCAAAGGGTGAGAAAAAGATTTTCAGGGATACATTATGTCGCATAATGAACTATAAAACAATGGAACGAATGTCTTGTCAACGCTGAGAGCAGCAGAAACAACGATTTTCTTCACAATCCATTGTTCTCTTTCACCCTCTTAGCTTTCTTTACGCTCATGTTCTTAGTCAAGATCTTGTAATTGCTTTTAAAGTTAAACAGTAACCTGTAGTCACTCCACTAATATTGCCACTTGGGAAATGGGACATCCAGTCTGAGTCAAGGCAAACAGTCGAAAACAGTAAACGTATTCCTTCTGGTTCTCATGATGAATTATTGAAACTTGGATTTTGGAGGTCGACCAAGTGGATCGGTCATATAATTGATGTTTTGGGACAAAGTGAGAGTCCCCACTCGCAGTTTTCCAAACAAATAGTACCTAAAATAGCTGTCGACGTTCCGGCCCACGTCTTTGTTATGGACGGAACGTTACAATTACGTTACATAACTCATTACGTGTAATAGATTTGTAGTGTGTTGTAATTAGAACTAATTAATTAATTGAAATTAATTAGAACACTACAATAACAAATCAATTACATTTATTAGCAGGAACCCGTCTAACCGTAGACTGTATATAGGGAATTCGATCACCAGTGTAGGATTTTATTCTGACGAGACTAACGTTCATGAAATAATACAGATCATATAAAATTACTAATTTCATAATCAATTTATGGAATATTTTGTAAATCGGAGTGCGAAATTTTGACTAACTCAATTTGTCGGAATTTCGCCTTCCGATTTTTGGGTAAGAAATTAAAAATGAACTTCCTTGACTAATTAAAACCGAAGAGATGCATTACCTTTGAACGATATTTGTTAGCTGCTACTTTTCACGGAGCAAATACTTTGTGTCACATAATATGTTTTTGCTTTTACTCTACCTGACGATCTCCGTGAACGGTTAGTTAAATAATGTTATCAATTGATTTATGACAATTTTTCAAATTAGCTTCTTATTACTAATGAAAAGCTTGCCTAATATAAAGTACTCATATTTTTTTTTGTCACTTAAGGTCGCCTTACCAAAGCTATAAATAGCTATATTTAGTTGTGAACATCTTAGGAGGCTGCAGATTCATAGAGGGTGTTTGTCTTATCAATGAGAAAAACTGTCGTTGCTACAGTTTTACGTCAAATAATCAAGTAATTGTATTGTTAGCCTCTGAAATAACCTGTCTCAAACCTGTTATGACTATGGCTATGCAGCCTCTCAAACAATCTGCCACGCGTTTCATATACCCCCATTAGGGCCTTGTATAATACACGTATTGTGTCCTTGGCGGACCTTGGGTCATGAAACTGACCCAGAGAGATCACTGATCCGATCCAGTTATCAAATCAGTAACGACTAATCATCATGGTGATGTGATCCATCACACGTCGGTAGAATTTATTTACCTAGAAATGGGCTAAATCTAGGTAACTGTAAGGGTAGAGTTCACTCTGTACATGGTAGCTATGATAAATCACAGTTCTTGCACAACTCGGCCTGATTGTGGGGAAAGAAAGGCACGGTATAAAAAGGTTTTACTGCACAAAGATGATCTCACTAAAGATGTTTTAGTCGTATAATTCAAAAAATCAGGATAATTGGAAATTGGTGAACAAACTGTAGTCTGACACCAGATTCCTTAACTTTTCACGTACATTATTATTATTAAAATCCCTTGATGATATATAAAGGCGCTTTATCAACAATTAGTAGGATTAGGAATTTGTGGTCAGGGGAAATAATAGCATCTTAACCCCACTTACACTGTATTAATCATTAAAATCAAGAAAACAATTTCCAATTCTTAAAATCATAATAGTAATACAGCAGGCCTGCAAGTTACTGGTTAGGGGTCGTTCATATAATACCTAATCGAGAAGTGAGGGATGGGGTTTTGGAATCTGCTATGTGTAAAACTGATTACGGAGGGGGGGGGGGGGGGGGTGTAAACATTTTCCAAAATATGTCATGTTATATTGTTATATGTTATATGTTATATAGGTATAACATACAGGGTGGGCCAAAAGTCAGTACCCATACGTTGGCCGTTATAGCTCAGTCACTGAATGCCCAATTTAAATACTTCTTTCTGGTATGACTTAGTACCACCACTGGTTCGAGGAATTTTTCAACTCGAAAAATATTCGCGTTCATTTTTTTAAATGGAGGTTCATTTTCACATTTATTTGATAGTTTGGATAGTCGGATCAAGCTAAATGTTATTGAATTGTGTTTGGCCA